CATTCTCTTTTCTATGTCTCTTTTCAAATCCCAATCTGGCTTTCTTGGTGCTAATGTATTTAAATCCTAAAATAATAATAATAAAATACAAGTTAAAATTTTAATGAAAAATATAAATATACTAAAAATAGTAGTGACAAAAGGAGACTAGTAGATCATTATCTATTCTATTTCTAAAGTTAGGTTATGTTATATACAATTTATTATAAGTACTATTTTAGTTTGAAGGTAAGACTAATTCTTGACAAAAATATTGATCATAACATTAAAAAAAATAATTTAATATTCATAATCAGGGCCGGATTTAGAGGAGGGCTGAGTGGGCTGCAGCCCAGTGGCCCCCACCAATGTTATAATATTTAAATTAAAATACAGAAAAAATATTTTATTTATATATTAAATACTCATATTTACACATGTAATTAAATAATATTGAACATTATTTGGACATTTAAAAAATTTAATTTTACTAACTATAATAATAGATGTATTCGSRTTTGTTGACAATRAACGGTGTCTAAGAATCTAGRTAAGATAGGTTTTTATGCCATCCGTAATCGGTGTTGATTTTCAAAACGTCATTGATAAGTTTGTACAAATGAAATTAAAAAAAGTKCCAGGCATTTAATTTTAATAACCTGACATTATTATTTTTATTATTCTTTATTTAATTACTTACACCTAATATTATGATGATATTACTTATACTATAGTTATACTTGATTTGATTGTTTTTATAATTATTTATTATTAAATAAGTAGTTAAATTGTTACTACTATAGTAGTATACTAAATATGATAATGAATGTTATTTAATAAGTAAAGAAATATATATTTTCTTATTTATGTGTAAGGGGCCCCCCCACAATGCATTCCGCCCAGGGGCCACCCCATACCTAAATCCGCCCCTGTTCATAATATCTAATTGCAATGGAATTGTCGTAGATACAATGAAAAGATGTCTACCCACTTAAAAAACAAATAATTTGGTTTTGATCAACTTAACACTTATTTCTCTCCATTTAAGAGGCTGTCGGACCCACATGTGTTTACTCCGTCTTACACACGTACTACATACCTGATTTTTGTTCACTAGTTTCAATAACATACTGTTAGTTTTGATATTAGATTAAATTTACCCATTATCAAAATTTTATGTAAGAACATTATCTGTGTTCTCTTTTTGGTTTTTTACGATATTTTAATTTATAAATAAGTTGTGCATTTTAAAAAATATATACTTTATATATTCATAATTTATTTATAAATTAAACATCGTAAAAAACCGACGAGAGAACACAGACAATGTTCTTAACTAAAATTTACTCTAATATCAAAACTAGTGAATGAAAATTTGATATGTGGTACGTGTGTAAGACGGAGAAAACAAATGCAGGTGCKACATCCTCTTAATAAATATATAAATATAACTTGCCTACATCTTCCAAACTAGGATAAATGATTTTAGCAGTTGTCCAATATAATATCATAAATTAACTACACATTATTAAAAGTTTGAGAAAGTAATTTAGCATTCATGTTCTCAATTATAATCTATTTCTTATTATCTTATCAGATATAATCATAATATTTATCTTAAAAGTATAATAGTCCATTAAAATATATTTAATAACATTAATTTACCAATTCTTGAACAGTAAAAACGGTTTCTCCAGCTTTTAATTGATCCTCGACTTCAGCAACAATATTACCTGGTTGAGGAGTAGGTATAAGTTCAGCTTTAAGCCCTTCATCTTCTGGAATATAACTTTTGAATCTTGGCCTAGAATAATAAAAAACTCTTAGATACAACACAACATATTTAATTTTTACTTCATACTTAGGTAATGGTTTTTCCACAATGTCTTCGTTGGTTTTTGATTCGTTTTTATTTTCTAAAGATTTTTTCAAATTTGCCAATCGTTCCTTGCGTTTTCGAGCTTCCTCTTCTAACAATCCAACTTTAATAGATTGATTTTCTGAATTTTCCATGATATAAGATAAAATATTTATTTATTTAACTGAGCAAAATAACAAATAATACTTAATTTTTTTTAAAAGTAATATACAAGTATTTAAACGGCATGAACTACACTACTAAGTAGTAGGTTTGATGTCCAAATCACATTTCATTATTTCAATACATCAAATTCACAATCCACAAAAATCTAACTTTTGTTTTAATTTTTAAAATTTAAAATTTAAATGTTTTGAATTTTTGATAATTGATAATGTTATCACATTTTTTTAAAACAATGTGACCATTTTACACATTATTAAATATTAGGTGTATATACTGTTTAATACGATCTCGGATGCACAGATTTAAATTATTATCTATATCTGTGCTCGGATGTAGGCAATTTTCCACTATTTAGGCATAATATGGAGTTGGACCTTGGACCTAATGTCCTAATCACGGACATAATAATATATAATAATAATATAATATAATATAATAATATAATAAATATAATAATACATAATAATAATACGTCCGTGGTCCTAATGGACCTATGGTTTAGTTTTAATCAATAATGATGACAAAATATATATTTAGTATATTTTTATTTTTTATATATTTTGTCATGGTTTTAGTGTTACTCATAGAGTAATAGTAGTAATACTATTACTCTATATTACCAGCACAGACGTAAAGTGTATTTATCAAAATATTATGAGAAAATATAGAATGCAAGACGGATACCAATATCAATACACATTGGGATTGGCCATTATTCGTTTATCATGTCCCATGTTCCCGTGGTCCAA